AAAGTTAGAAACTGCCAAATCAGATAAGATTGTTAGTATAAAAACAAGGAGCAGTTAAATCTTGGGCAAATAAAAGAAAATGGAAATGAATAAAAAAAAATAATATAATAAAACTTTTGATATCACTTGGCCTCGGTGAATATCATATCTCTGAGGATGATAAATCATTGTATCAACCTCATCATCAGTCAATGACTGTATAATACTAGACGAGTTTGAATTATACTAGAGTAATACAATAGATATTCTTTAAAGAAACCCCGTCAGTGGTGGTCTGCGACTATCAATTATTGCAAAACACCTGTTTGCAATACCTACGACATCCGTTCCTTCCGAGAGAATATTTGTAACTGTTGGATCTATATAAGTTTCATTGTAAACCAACAACGGCTTCCTGTTGTAGTTACAGCTACTTTGAACTCATTGACTCTAAAATCAATATGCGTATTCCTCTTTTTATATCTTTCACCAAGACAAGTGTCGTTCCAATTTACCAAGGGTAACATAAAATTTATTCGGAAAGCATTAATTTCTAAAAGGTGCAGTAAAAGTGACCTTCAATTTTGACATTTTGACCCAAAAATAATTAGACTTCTTTCCCTTTCTTGAATTAGTGTATGTTTTTTGTAATAACGCAAAACATTAAAGATATAATCCGAAAAGCTTCTGAAAAAACGGGAGTAATAAGCATATGCAATGACAGTAAAAACAAAAATACCGAACTCCAAATCAAATGGCAAAATCAAAAGCTCAAACACATCAAACGAATGGAAAACAACTGTCATATTCATATCTAATTGTTGACAATAATAATGACACTGTGGTTAACGCAGGTGTTACTAGATCCTTGTTTTCTCTAATTATGGACACATGGTCAATTAGTATTATGCAACACGTCTACGTTTATTTCACATTTCTAAGAACTGTTACAAGCAATAAAAGTAAACCACGTGGTACCATTGAACGTTAATTATCTAATTAAAATAAAATAAGATAAATCGACTGTACGCTTTGTCACTTTATATCATCATATATATGACGAAATTTCTTATTTATTCAAATGTTCTTTAGCAAATTCTAGATATGTTTTCACATTTCTAAGAACTGTTACAAGCAATAAAAGTAAACCACGTGGTACAATTGAACGTTAATTATCTAATTAAAATTAAATAAGATAAATCGACTGTACGCTTTGTCACTTTATATCATCATATATATGACGAAGTTTCTAATTTATTCAAATGTTCTTTAGCAAATTCTAGATATTTCACTCGTTTAAGTCCTTTCTGAATATTATAACTTACAAAAAGTACACCAATAAGACACGCAAATGAATTATTTACGTCATTATGTGTTTTGCTTGATAACAATTAATATTAGCATATGTAAAATTAAAATGGGAAATATGTCAAAGAGACAACAACCCAACAAAAGAGCAGACAACAGCCGAAGGCCACAATGGGTCTTCAACGCAGAACCTCTTTATAAGCTAAAATTTAAATTTCCAAAGATAATTTCAACAACAAATTTAAGATAAAGAGTTGATTTTCCTTGGTGTCCTTTTAATAATTTTCTTGTCCTTGTTGGCGCCTAATTTTGGAATGTAGAAGAGGGGCGAAAGATACTAAAGGGTATCATAAATCGAAAATAAACTGATTACATCATTGGTTCAATGTGCGTTTTTTTTTTTGCAGTGGAACCTTCGAGTTTCAATACTTTTTCCAATAGGGTTATATATGTATCTTGTTTTACAAAATGTATCACAAATACAATATATTTATATCAAAATTTATTGTTGAAGTATAATTAGTAGTATACTTAACACGTTTCGGAGTTGTACATCCGTTATTTTTCTTTGCTTTAAAAGTCGTTTTTTAATAATACTTATATTATAGTGAACCACTGCGTCTATTATCAAAAATGAGTTGACGAAAAATCAATCTACTTCAGAAATTCTGTTTGAGTTCTCAATGCTCTTCAACTTCGTACTTTAATTGGCCGTTTTAAACTTTTTTTATTCGAGCGTCACTGATGAGTCGTTTGTAGACGAAACGCCCGTCTGTCGTACAAAATTTTAATTCTTGTGTATATGATGAGTTTATTTAAAGACGTGATATCTTACCTCTGAGGGATTTTCAAAAACAACACTTACTGATAGCATATAGTTCAATAGCATTTTTAATTGCTAATCATTAAATTACCAATGGGTCAAGAAACATACCGATAACACAGTAAAACATATAACATCTACAAAAATAAATAACAAGATAATAATATCTGACGATCTCCTGCTTGAAAGATTACTCTAAACATCGTATTTTTCGTCCCCAAGATAGTATAAAAGATCCATAAGGAAAAAAGGACAATTTGTTTTTATCAATTTATGCTTGTTCTGTCTGCTCTAAATAATATGTTTGTAATTCGTTATTTAAAGTACATTAAGGCATGAATACATATATTATGCACCTTTAAATCAGGTGCATGTTAGAGTAACAGAAAGACATAACCTAGTCTATTTGACCAACTAATCTATATCCTTGTTTCAAGGTAGCATGTCACATACATATAACATTTTCTTTATTTTAAACAGGATCCCGTTGACAAAATGTATGACACTGTGGGGACATATGTAACTATATCCACCATTACGTTAGCAGTTCATTTGAGTCATAATAACATCGTTTATTATGTATATGAATGAGTTTGTAACAAATGGAAACATCTAACAAAAGTCATGTTCTATCGTTAAGTCCTGTGTCATTATCTAGCCTTGTACAGTATTTAACCAATTTTTATCTGAAACGGTCATTTTGATCTGAACAGCTCTAAAGAGACTGAACAAAAGATTGTTAAGTAATTTTCAGTCTTTCAGTCAGTTTTCAGACTCATCCACTGCGGTAAATTCAATACTGTTCAGACTTGCAGTCAATTAAGATAATGTTGTCAGTCTATGTTCAGAATATTCGTAGTTATTATTTACCTGTCGTTGTCCCCACAGATATAGCCCCAAACAATAAAATTGAGAATGGAAATGGGGAATGTGTCAAAGAGACAACATCCCGACCATAGAGCAGACAACAACCGAAGGCCACCAATGGGTCTTCAATGCAGCGAGAAATCCCGCACCCGGAGGCGTCCTTCAACATTGTTTGTGCATATATATCACACTACATAAACTACTTAACAAATGATTTCGGTATTGACAATTCACTTGGAAACTTAACATATATCCCCACGACACTTACCAAGCAGGAAATCCTGAAATAATCATAGATCTGTTCTATGTTCCTTTTGAATTTCAACCAAAGATCATCCTGCAATGTATTGGCTATCTAAATTACATAAGTTTCCTTACAAACAATGTTATAGTTGTGGATCTTCCTATTGCTCCACGAATCCTCTTTCTGAATTATTTACATCAATTTTATATAAGCCGGGTTTCAAAGTTATTGTGAAACTACATATTCTAGAATCAAATGTGAATACTAAAAAATTCCAAAGATCTGTTATATTTAACTTCACTTTCCGCTATATGATGATGTCCTCTCACTAAATAATTCAATATTTAGTGACTATGTTGAACGCGTCTATTCCATTAAACTTGACATAAAGGATACAACAGATACAGTTAAGTCTGCCTCATATCTTGACTTATAAAGGCAACAGTAGTATACCGCTGTTCGAAACTCATAAATCGATAGAGATAAAAACAAATCTGGGTTACAAACTAAAACTGAGGGAAACGCATCAAATATAAGAGGAGAACAACGACACAACAAAAACACAACATTAAAATGTAACACACACAGAAACGAACTATAATATAACAATGGCCATTTTCCTGACTTGGTACAGGACATTTTAAGAAAATAAATGGTGGATTGAACCTGGTTTTGTGGCATGCCAAACCTCCCGCTTTTATGGCAACGTCAAACACAACACCAAAACGACAACATCACATGACTTACACCTAGAAAATGACTATGATGGTCGGTTGAGAACAAAACTTGACGACAAAAGAGATGATTTCAGCCCCCCCATTGTGAACTTTCCATTTATATGTATAAACATTCCAGCAGGGCCTGCATATAGAGTATATGTCTCCCAGTTGATACGATATTTCAGGGCTTGCGTTCCCTATTATGATTTCCTTGATAGAGGGTTGCTGCTCATAAGGAAGCTTTTAAACCATATTTCCTCGCAAATTTTATGAACGCCATCACGGGCTGGTTGACCGTTATGGAATATCCGTTTCACAGATGACGACGGATATTGTCCAATTGTCGTGTTGCTCAATCTTTAAATTTCTATGTTGTGTTTTGTAAATTGTTTATCTTCTGGTCGTATTTTCGTTTTTCGCCATTGCGTTTTCATTTTATTTTGACTTATGAGTTTCAATGTCCCTATGGTATCTTTTTCCATTCTTTTCATGACCGATTGTGTTCTACCTTTTTACAATTCAAGACGGCGGAATACACTTAGTCTACTTTAAATATAATATAATATGAACCCCACCTTTAGAGCAGAAATCTTTCAATTTTAGGTTTCACAGGTTATAATATGTTGGGTAAACAGCATTAACGATTACAGAATTTGAACTCTACCAAAACACGTTTGACAGATTTTTGTGGCAAACATATCATGCAATTTCAGGACAAGAAAAAATAAACAATTAATGTAACAGGTCAGCAACCGACCTTCAAAGACTTGTTGCAATGGTTATGTAACATAAAGAGTGTGGCACTCTATCTACACAAAGAATCGAATTCTATGATATTCCGACTTGACAGTGCATTTAAACACACCCAACCCCACTGTCTGACAATGTTCAAAATCTAATTATGGAAAGGTTTGTCTCTAATATCCAACTTTTCCTCTTGCCTGTAAGCACATCATCCATCATATTTTAATAATTACTAAAACAATGGTTACCTGGTGTCAGTTTGCATTCGTGTGTTGTGTGCAATATTTTACATGAACTATGGATGACGAATTTTGCTATATAAGTATGTTCACACTTGAATATTTTTCATCATAGCAAGTATTAAGTATAAGACGTTGTTTAAATATCATTCATTCTCGTTAACCTGATCCAATGAGAATGTGGATAGCTGGGATTTTGATACTTTGTGTTATTCATTGTGCACACGTAAGCTTTGTTAATTACTAACATGGTTTTGGAAACGAGGATTCCTGTTATTATTCAAAAGTTGAACTAGAATAATGTATACAAACCAAGAACTTACATATTAAGTATTAAAATGAACGGTTCTTCTTTTTAGTATTTTATTAATTAATTATAGTTTGTATCTTCTGATCATTATTTGTTACAATATAAAGGGTCTGTATTTTCAATAAACGTGTTAGAAAAGTCAATACGATTTCTGGCGCTGATGTTAACTACGAGCTATAGAGGGACTATCTCAAAAAGCACAGATAATCATTTGCTATAGTTACCTGTATATATGTGTGTGACATTGCCGAGATGATTTTGAACAATAAAAGAAACCAATATATGCTATAATACGCTGAACAGGATCCAGCATAAAATTATATCGTTATTTATATATATTTCTATTTTTCTTATCTTAATCATAAAACTGCCTTGATTCATAGTAGTGATCGATTAAGACAAAGATCGTTGTTCTCCCTTTTCTAACAATTTGATTACAAAACGATTTTGAACGGCTACAAGAAAAAATCCGCAAAAAGATCAAAATAAATCTATAAAAAATACTGCAATTAAATCACATCCGAATCCGATTTTTTACTTGAAGGTTTAAATAAAGCTTTGTTCAAAATTATCGTTAATTTGAAATTTATCTATAACGTGTTTTCTCATGTCGGACATTAAAGAGCTTTCTTTGCATTATGTACATTGTTGAAGGTCGTACGGTGACCTATAGTTGCGAACAACTACGCCATTTGATATCTGGTGGATAGTTGTCTCAGTGGCAATCAAACCCCATCTTCTGATTTTATATCAAGCGTACGAAATGTTTCTAGAATAGAGAAAAGAGCAGCTTTAAATTCTCATAAAAGCTAACTAGAGTATTTGTGTAGTTGGCAATTAAAAGAACAATTTTATACAACAAATAATAGGTACGGCAATTCGTGCAGTCCCTTCACCGGAAATCTGTGACATACTTATGTTCAAAATAATGAATCAAATAATTTCTGCATTTCAACATAAAGACAAAATATTCTATCATGGCAGATATAGGGACGATGGATTCATAATATATGATTGAACATCAGATGAAATTACAGAGTTTTTTCGTCTTGCAAATAATTGTAACCCTTTATTAAAGTTCACCTATGAAATCTAAAACGATAAAATGTCGTTCTTAGATGTTTATGTAATTAAAGGTCAAAGATTTACAACACATGGCATTCTTGACCTTGAAATACATTTTAAAGAAACAAATTCTTGTCTGTATCTGCATAGAAATAGCTGTCACTCACAGCGTGTATTCAGAGGATTTATTAAAGGTGAAGCAATACGGCTGATTAGAAACACAAGTGATCATAACAAATCAATAAACAATCTAACTAATTTCAAAGTGAAATTATTAGATAGGGGTTATGATAACGTCGAAATAGATGAAAGTATTACTGATGCTTTATCAATTGACCGTACTGAATTATTACAACAAAATAAATCGAAAGAAACAGAAAATATTCCGTTAGTTTAAATAACTAAATATAACCCATATATACGTAAAATAAAAAAAAACGAATCATGAAACACTGGCATTTATTGCAGTTTGACGAAGATTGTGTACGAATATTCAATGATGCACAATAGTTGCGTATAGCAAACATAAAAGTGTAGGAAATACGCGTTGCAGACCAAAGTTAAAGACTTTGACATAAAACTGACAGTTGGACCCCTGATGATGGCAGATCTGTCATAATATCTAGATCTATTGACGAAGAATTAAAATATGAATATATCAATATATACATGAATAATTTTCATATTTTATTAAATTATATTAAAATAATTCATCTTAACATGACCATTCCAATTTTTCTTTAAATTCTCATAAAAAGCTAACTAGAGTATTTGTGTAGTTGGCAATTAAAAAAAAACAATTCTATACATGAAATACAAGATTTTTTATTCTCTTTCTTTGGTCGGTCATTTTAATAAATTCACAAATCTTAGATATTATTCATTTATATTCCTATAAAATAGAAGTTATTTGCATTCCCTCAATAACTTTTTCCATGAAACCCGATATATTTGTCATACAGAAAAACAAAACTATTTTGGAATTGTACATTGTGTAAAAGACGGAAATTTTACACTTTTTAAATGAATAGTAAGCAGTTTTAAATATTTATGAAAGCGATAAGCGATAAATTTCTCTCCTCGTCTTTATCATTCAATATAAATTTTGAATCATGTCTAATTTAAGAAACTTCATCATCGGTCGTCTATATTGATGAAAAAATTAAATGTGTATTTTTCCTTTTTTTCAAATCATTAATATGCATTTTGCCGCTCTTGTAAAACAAACACTAGAAACTCTATTGCAAATGCTCAGAACATGTCGACCAAGAAAACACGCATTTCTGTGGGAAGACCACACAATTTTTTGCCAATTAATTGTCTCCTGATAGTGTTTTTGAGGCTTCGTAGTTACCCATGTTATTATCTTTTATGTTTACTTTTTGACGTTTCATCTCATACTGTTTGTACACATATAGCCCTTATACCGATTTTATGGAAACTTTATTCTCCAAATATAGTCCGCCCTGGTCGTGAACAATGGTTTCAATCACATAGAAACTGGCCGAAGCTTCCAATTGCTTTACCAGCTACTGATGATTCCATGTGATATACAAACCTAAAAGTGAACCACAGGAGCTATTTTACTCGGGACATCCCAATATTCACTGCATCTATACTTGTTACCAAGAATTGGGACTAATTAGGAATTGGATTTTCCTCCAAACTGTTTAATTTTATGTGATATTTATGCAAACCGTCCAGTGTCGAAATTATGTTGAACAAACCATAAGACATTTAAAAACATTACGAATTTCGAAACTGTGGACCAAAAATTGAATCAAATTGTTGAATTGTGTCCTGGACGTTTGGGGGATTTGTCAATTTAACATATACTACTCGTAAATCTTATATCGATATTGTTATTTAACACCAGTGCAGTATTTAAATCCCTTTCCTTAGGCAAAAAACATAAATTTATTTGTTTAAGGTTACATCTATAAATAGAAAAAATAGGGTAGGTAGGTCGGTATTTCAATTTTATTTTATTTATCATTTTATTTTTTGCAACATGATTTTGAATCGTGCGGTCCGGTCCGTCTTACCGTGGTCCGGGTTGTCCATGGGCCGAGTTTCCCGTATTCTTAATGATTGGATTATTACCCTTGATTTGACAAAAATGGCGGCAAAGTGTTTATTTCATCACACGATTCGAGAGTTTCCTGAAAACAGCTGTCATATTCACGATTTTGAACATTTAGATGTATCAGGCAATTGATTTATTTTATTTGCAACTCTAACTTCGCTTTTGACACGAGTTCAGTTAATTTTTCACTTGACAACGGAAATAAAATAATGTAGGGTTAATACTCAAAAGTAGGGTAACCGTAAACAGATATATAGATATTTTTTTTGCCTCTTACGTTCGTACGTCTATTAGCACATTAAGGAGCGCAAATATGTACTTGTATGAATTCCAAAATTATAAATTCAAACGTGGTATTCTGTTATAAAATCATGAGTTCCATTTTTATTTAAAAGTATATGATGATTTGAGAACACCTACTCTGTCTTATGTAGACAAATCACACATTTGGCTAAATCCAATTTAAATGATAAACGTGGTAAGTTTTCAGTTGAAAATAATTGTTTCTGTAAATTTTAAGGTATAGAAAAACGAGTGAAGTCTTTAGAAGGATCGAATTACAATCTCTCACGAAGTATATTAAAAAGGGGTAGGGGGTATAATAAGCGCCATTATTATTGCTTAACATTACTAGTATGTTAATTTCTTTGGTAAAAGGGTAATACAATCTGTACATTTTAGCGCAAAACTTCACTCATTTCAAATTTTTGAAATTGACATATTAGCCAAAAAAAGGGTCATTTTACATATAATTTTTTTAAACAATTTGATATGAGCAAATGCCTTACCCAAAGCGATATTTCACACACATTAACATATTTATAAAGTATATTTGGCAGTAAAACATATTGTTGTGTAATGCATTGTCTCAACACTGAGCGTTAATAGGAAGATCTCAAAACGAGGTTATTTCGGCAGTTTTGCACAAAATTAAAGAAGTTTGTTGAAGACTAAATGCTAGTATGCAAGTCAAAATAAAAAACTCTACAAACTAATATCTGTCAGACAAATGTATAATGTACATTGATTGATTGATTGATAGGAGTTTAACGCTACTTTCAGCCACTTGCAGGGTTCGAACTCACAACATCAATGTTGACAGGTTAGTGATACAGTAGTTATACTACTAAGTTTACTCGGCCACCGAGGCCCCTCTAATGAACAACTGAAGGATGTTATTTGATAGAATCATAATAATAATAATTTATTTTTCCAAAAACGAATACAGCTAATAGGATATATACACATAATGATAATAATTTTATATGCACCAATAATAAGAAATTTTACAAAATATTCTTGAGATACAAAATATATAAATATAACGGTGTACATGAAATAAAATGTAATACATAATACAAAATACGAGATACGTTCAAGAAGCAAAACAGATTGGCCTAATATTTTGTTATTTGGACGAATGTTTTGCCCCAATCGTAACTTCTATTTAATAATGAGTAAAGTATTTTCGTATTAATCAATGAAAAATCAAATTTAACAATGGTTTCTTTCTTTGAAATACAATCACTTTTTTTTATTGTTAAAAGTGTACTGTTGTATTATATCTTTTATATCTCCGATTCTATGTTTACAGGCACAAGAACCCAGACATGGGGTTTGTCCGACAAACTCTTGTAATCGTATTGGTGTAAAATCTAATTGCCAAGTTGACTCAGATTGTAAAAAAAGTAATTATACATATATTTAGATTGCAGGTACTTCCAGCAAAAATTACTTTCTCTAAAACAAACAAACAACATTAAGATCCCTACATCACCAACCATGATGGAAAAAACCACACATACAAAAGTACAGATGTAGCTATAGTCGTCTTTAAAAATACATGTTAAGGTCACAAATCCAAGTACAAAGAGACAACCCGTACTGTAGATTCAATACTGTAAACCAACTAATTTTCGCGAGCGATTAATTTTCGCGACTTTCGCGAGTAGAAAAATAACGCGAATATAAATCGTCGCGAATATGTAAAACTTGGATTTTTCCATATTTAATTACATCAAGTAAATTTGAGAATCGCGAAATTAAGTCGCCGCGAAATGGACTAGAAAGGGCTTATCGCGAAATATAGTATATAGTTGGTTTACAGTATTATTCGTGTGATACAAACTTTCTTATATTTCGTTTGTATTATCTAACCATAGATTTAGATATTCATTGACAAACAAATTTGACATAAGATTATATATAAATAAGACGTTACCAAATCCACGAAATCAAATATCTACGAAAATTAAATTTTTCGTCGATCAACGAAAGAAAATAAATCGACAGTTTGTCAATTACAGTAGCACAAAAAAACATGACAAAACAAATAGCAGAATGGTTGAAGTCATAATGCCAGCGAAACATGTCTGGTGTAATTTGAGACATGTCACAATTAATAAAATAAAAAACATATAAGATGTGTAATAATGATTTGAATCGCTATTTACTCATATTTCATTCTTTTTAAAGAATATAAACTTTTCTCAAAGAATAAAAACATGTTTTTTCTAGATGTTATTTTTAATAAAGATACAAGATAGAAACATTCAAACTCACAAGAAGAAAATAAACTGACAACTCCATGGCAAAAACCGAAAAAGACAAAGGATAAACAACATAATACAAAACACAACATAGAAAACTAAAGACTGAGCAACACGAACCCCACCAAACACTGGAGGTGATCTCTGGTGCTCCGGAAGGGCATATCCTGCTCCACATATGACACCCGTCGTGTTGCTCATGTAAGTACAAACCCGGTGATAAGTCGGTAGGTCCCATTTAGGGAAAGGAGGACGGGATTGTGGTTACGACAATTGGAACATATCCGTCGTCATCTGTGAAACAGATATTCCATAATGGTCAACCAACTCGTGATGGCGTCCATAACAGTGTCGAAGGGATGATTTCACCTTCACCACTTGGATTTCTTGGTTTTATAGCTTCCGTGTGAGCAGCAACCCTCTATCAAGGAAATCATGATAGGAAATGGAAGCCCTGGAATATCGTATCAACTCTGAGGTACATTCTCCATATACAGCCGCTGCTGGAATGTTGCCGTAAAGAACTGACCCCCATTTTCAAATTTTAGATGTAAGTCAAGATATGGGGCAGACTTAACTGTATCTTTTGTATCCTTTATTTCAAGTTCGATGGGATAGATGCGTTCAACATAGTCACCAACTTTTGAATTATTTATTTATATAAATCGGTGCACAGACACGCTTAATATCATTTCAAAAGACTGGAATGGAAAGTTAGTAAGTCAGCTGCATAGTTTACACATACAACCAATGGAAATAAATTTATTTAATCCATATAATTTTTAACACAAACATTTTTTTTACTTAAAATATCACCGTTGATTGAACTCGAAGATTCGATCGATTGATTGTTGTTTGCTTAACTTCCAATGGGTAATATTTCATGAATGTTCAATACAAGAACAAGTAAACACTCAATACAATAGGTAGGTTCTTCCAGGTAGGGGTCATCCAGGATGAATGACGGGATATTTGACTTCCACATGAAAATGAGGCTTTGAATGATATGGACAGACATTTTGCCTTCAACAGACCATCTACGAACTCCTCACAGTTTTTTGGAATAGTTCTGTAACTTTCAATAAATACGACACTCGAGCCAAACGGATACTTTACTGGAATATCTTAAACAGGACAACGTTGTTTATATTTTTCTTTTCGCATTTTTCTAGTAGCTTGTCTAAACACTTTTCAAATGACCCATTTGAAATAACTACAAATAGATTAAAAGACTGAACACGAATGGAAGTTTTTAGTTTAACCATTTTAGATCAAAATATCTGTTTATTATAAACCTGTGTTAAGTAGGGATAAGTTCAATGAAATCAGAAAAGAATTTAATTAGTGCTTTTCGTTTAAAACCAGTAATTATTGGGTAAATAACAAATATTCATTTGACGCTTCCCAGTACATGCAGTTTTGGTGTTCACTTAAATCGGTATGGAAATAAAGCGATTTGAAATAGATACTTAGCATGCCATTGTTAATTACTTTTTATACTATTTTATTCATTTAAAAAACTCTGTTTTATATGTTTTTATTTTATTTAAGGAAACCAAAAATGTTGTAGGAACCAACGTGGAAAACTAGCGTGTACTAATCCTATAACGGTATGTTCATGTCTTCAAACAATGTGAATACTGGCGTGAACTAATCCTATAAAGGTATGTTCATGTCTCCAAACAATGTGGAGTACTGGCGTGTACTAATCCTATAGAGGTATGTTCTTGCCTTCAAACAATGTGGAGTACTGGCGTGTACTAATCCTAAAGAGGTATGTTCATGTCTCCAAACAATGTGGAGTACTGGCGTGTACTAATCCTATAGAGGTATGTTCATGTCTCCAAACAATGTGGAGTACTGGCGTGTACTTATCCTATAGAGGTATGTTCTTGCCTTCAAACAATGTGGAGTACTGGCGTGTACTTATCCTATAGAGGTATGTTCTTGCCTTCAAACAATGTGGAGTACTGGCGTGTACTAACCCTATAGAGGTATATTCATGTCTCCAAACAATGTGGAGATCTGGCGTGTACTAATCCTATAGAGGAATGTTCATGTCTTCAAACAATGTGGAGTACTGGCGTGTACTAATCCTATAAAGGTATGTTCATGTCTCCGAACAATGTGGAGTACTGGCGTGTACTAATCCTATAACGGTATGTTCTGGTCTTCAAACAATGTGGAGTACTGGCGTGTACTAATCCTATAACGGTATGTTCTGGTCTTCAAACAATGTGGAGTACTGGCGTGTACTAATCCTATAGAGGTATGTTCTTGTCTTTAAACAATGTGGAGTACTGGCGTGTACTTATCCTATAGAGGTATGTTCTTGTCTTCAAACAATGTGGAGTACTGGCGTGTACTAATCCTATAGAGGTATGTTCATGTCTTCAAACAATGTGGAGTACTGGCGTGTACTTATCCTATAGAGGTATGTTCATATATTCAAACAATGTGGAGTACTGGCGTGTTCTAATCCTATAAAGGTATGTTCATGTCTTGAAACAATGTGGAGTACTGGCGTGTACTAATCCTATAGAGGTATGTTCTTGTCTTTAAACAATGTGGAGTACTGGCGTGTACTTATCCTATAGAGGTATGTTCATGTATTCAAACAATTTGGAGAACTGGCGTGTTCTAATCCTATAAAGGTATGTTCATGTCTTGAAACAATGTGGAGTACTGGCGTGTACTAATCCTATAACGGTATGTTCATGTCTTCAAACAATGTGGAGTACTGGCGTGTACTAATCCTATAGAGGTATGTTCATGTCTCCAAACAATGTTGAGTACTGGCGTGTACTAATCCTATAAAGATATGTTTATGTCTTAAAACAATGTTGAGTACTGGCGTGTACTAATCCTATAAAGATATGTTTACGTCTTAAAACAATGTTGAGTACTGGCGTGTACTAGTCCTATACAGATATGATCATGTCTCCGAACAATGTGGAGTACTGGCGTGTATTAATCCTATAGAGGTATGTTCTTGTCTTCAAACAATGTGGAGTACTGGCATGTAGTAATCCTATAGAGGTATGTTCTTGTCTTCAAACAATGTGGAGTACTGGCATGTAGTAATCCTATAAAGGTATGTTCATGTCTTCAAACAATGTGGAGTACTAGCGTGTACTTATCCTATAACGGTATGTTCTTGTCTTCAAACAATGTGGAGTACTGGCGTGTACTAATCCTATAACGGTACGTTCGTGTCTTCAAACAATGTGGAGTACTAGCGTGTACTAACCCTATAGAGGTATGTTCAAGTCTTCAAACAATGTGGAGTACTGGCGTGTACTAACCCTATAGAGGTATGTTCATGTCTTCAAACAATGTGGAGTACTAGCGTGTACTAACCCTATAGAGGTATGTTCATGTCTTCAAACAATGTGGAGTACTGGCGTGTACTAATCCTATAGAGGTATGTTCATGTCTTCAAACAATGTGGAGTACTGGCGTGTACTAATCCTATAAAGGTATGTTCATGTCTTCAAACAATGTGGAGTACTGGCGTGTACTTATCCTATAGAGGTATGTTCATGTCATAAAACAATGTGGATTACTGGTGTGTACTTATCCTATAGAGGTATGTTTATGTCTTCAAACAATGTGTAGTACTGGAATGTACTAATCCTATGAAGGGGTGTTCATGTCTTCAAACAATGTGGAGTAATAGCGTGTACTTATCCTATAAAGATATGTTCATGTTTCCAAACAATGTGGAGTACTGGCGTGTATTAATCCTATAGAGGAATGTTCATGTATTCAAACAATGTGTAGTACTGGCGTGTACTAATCCTATAGAGGTATGTTCATGTCTCCAAACAATGTGGAGTACTGGCGTGTACTAATCCTATAGAGGTATGTTCTTGTCTTCAAACAATGTGGAGTACTGGCGTGTACTAATCCTATAGAGGTATGTTCTTGTCTTCAAACAATGATGAGTACTGGCGTGTACTAATCCTATAGAGGTGTGTTCATGTCTTCAAACAATGTGGAGTACTGGCGTGTACTTATCCTATAGAGATATCTTCATGTCTTCAAACAATGTGGAGTACTGGCGTGTATTAATCCTATAGAGGTATGTTCGTGTCTTCAAACAATGAAAACTGTTTTGAAATATCAGTGAATAAATATAAACGTATCGCACTTATTTCATTTGTATTTAAACGTTCGGTTAACAAGGTATAACTCCATAAATGTTTTTAACATGTACAGAGAAGGAAATTAAATTTGTAACCATAAAGTAAAATACTAAAATTAAAATACAATTTACTGATTGGAGTGTAATTAACATTCGGTATTTGGTATTTTAAAATATTATTTAGTTGAACGTCGTATCTGATTGTTCGTTGAAGGCAATGACTATTCATTTTTCTTTGACATTATAATGTTGTAATTCTCTTTGACTCTTGTAAATCTTATGTATTTACACCTTTTATTGAAAACGCAAAAAAGTCAGATTCAATATGTAAGATGTATTAATTGATGTGTTCATTTATTTTTTTACTTTGAGGAAAAATCAAGAAACTAATAAAACACCATACCAAAAAGAAACAAGACTAATGTTAGTCCTCAAATGTCTACATCTAAGTATAAGCAAAAATAATTCCACCAACGGTTGAAATGTTGAAATGAAATGGTCAGGAGGAGACAAAAATTCAGGATTAAAAAGTGACATCTACAGGATTACTCCTGAAAAATCCTTATGGTGATTACATATACTTATTTTTGGGTTAGACAAGAAAAAAATGAGAACCTTGATGTAAATAAACATTTCTGTAATACAATTGTATGTGTTTTCACATTGTAAATAGGGGGATCGTGGTGGATGTCCACTGTGTGGAAATGGAGAATGCCCACTGTGCATCCAATACCAGCAGCTATGTAACGCAGATAAAGATTGTAACCCAGGTCAGTGCATTGATTCAAAAATCCAAAAAATCCGTTATAGTGAACAACAATAGTTTGATTGATTCTTCAAAATTGCTCAAGTGGTCTCTTGTGCTCGGCTTCAGTTCTTTTAAAAACAAGCAACTAATTAGTCAGCGAAAATGATGTGGGATATATTTCTGTTTAAGGCAATAGACTATTTTCATATTACCGACTTTTGATTCCGGATTATATAATTTGTCGACTGGTTACCTTGGACATCATGGTACTCGGTCAAGTAAGAGCAACCAAAATAAGTAAAATCAAACATATAATCGGTGTTATTTGAGGGGAAAGTTTATTGTTTTCCGATGATTTTGTAGTGAAAAAAAATGTTGAGCAGGTAATTTTCCCCCAAAATTGTACCGATTGAACGCTTGGTTTTACTTCTTTAGCATGCTCTTACCTGACTTGGTACCATGATGTCCAAGGTAACATGTTTAGATATTATCTGCTTACTGAGAAATGTGTTTAGAAATTAAACACAATCCTAAACACGTTTAGATCTAAACATGTAATACAAGTGTTTAAATTCTAAGCACGACTTTTACAGTGTAACTCTATAAGTCGAATAAACTCGTCATAGATACCAGGATTAAAATTTTGTACGCCAAACGCACGTTTCGTCTGCAGAAGACTCTTCAGTGACGCTCGAAAAAAAGCCAAAGAAAAACAAATAGAGTACGAAGTGTGACTTAACTTTTTTCCTACATTGTCATACCGATTTTCATACAAGTAATCTTGTCCTGGCAATTTTTATCAACTGATGTAAACATACATTTCCCATTTGTTGTGTGATACCATCATGATGAACACATAATTTAGATGTTTTATCCTAAGTAACAGAACTTTAAGTTCGAACGTAATATTACGATATATAACATTTATACTATACAATGATGTAACCGTGATTTTAATACCTGTAACCAATTATTATTTACTAGTTTTCTTATTTTATTCATAGTAAAACAACGGGAATATCTAGTTCTTTTACAAGTATAATTTGTGTATCGTTAACCAGTGTCATTACTTAATGTAAAGCTATTTCAGTAATGGACCAATCAAACATGTTAAATGATTCCTTGTTAAGTACTGTAAGTTCTAGGTGCTCCTACTATAATATCAATTGTTTATAGATAATTCATTACGATTTCAGAAAATGCTACATACAAATAATGCTATTTACATTTAAAATGGTCGTTTGTTTGTTTGTTTTTTATTTTGCGAAAATCTATTCCGTTGCAATTTTCGTCAAAAAATAAATAGATTTCAGAATTTGCACAGCATTGTACAGTGGAAGACGTTTTGACACACCAAAGTCTAACTGTTACTTTCTCATAGTTCAATACAATTACTATGGATATACTTTCAGGTGAGCTGTGTTGCTACAACAATTCCTGTGGTACATCTTGTGAAACAAAACAGGCTCGATGAAATCATTCTTTACTGTATCCGAAGAACCCATGTAAAACATCAAGTTATGATGAGCTTAAATTTCATTTATTTAATTGTGACATAACTAATTGGGTCAATTACAAAAATAAAGAATGAATTAAGCAGAATATGTATTTTATTAATTGCTACTTTACAATCCTTGGATATAGTAGCAATACTACGGAACGTCGTCAAGGTACCTAATGCTAAGTTAAATAACGTCACAATTTTTGCGACCACTCGGACCATTTTCAATGACTTTCATTTAATCAAGCGCGGTATGTAGGAATCGATCACTTAAAGGACAGTAACCAAACAATTCCGTTTACTCGTAGTATGCCTCTTGTGTTGTGTGAATACGGTAAAATTTGCTTGAGGTGTATGTTCGCAACACTTTTACAGATTTTTAGCTTGACTCGGGAATATCTATTTCTTGGTATATTGCCTATTTATGAACACTGTGTCGTTGGGTTGTTGTCATATTGACGTTTACCCGAGATCTCTGTTATTCATACATGGTACTGAGAGAAGAATTGACGAAAGACCATCTTTTTTTTAATTTAAGTCTGGAAGATATTAGAGGAGGAGAGTATAGCCAGTATTTAATATACAAAAGTATCATAAATATGTATTCACATCTCAATCAGTAACGACCGAAGATACTTTTATAGAAAAGGGGTCTGGCGAAATAAAAAAAGACATATTCAGTAATTGTACTTGGTGTATGCTTTTTTTGTAAAATTTGCGACTAGAAAGTGGGAGAATACTCAAACTCCGAAACAGTGGTGACGTTGCTTCGCTAAACTATCAAAGTCAACGCTAGTGTAGCAAGGAAGACGCTACCACTGTTTGGGAGTTTGGGAGAATGCTGTGTTGAACACCATTTTAAGACTGGAACAGAAGCGACACCATGCGTTGAAATAAAAAAATAAACATAGAATTAGGCCGTTAGTTTTCTCGTTTGAATTGTTTTACTTGTTACATGTCGGGGTGTTTTATAGCTGACTATACGGTATGGGTTTTTTCTCATTGATGAAGGCCGTACGGTGACCTATAATTGCTTTTATCTTTGTCAATTGAACTCTGCTGAATAGTTGTCTCATTGGCAAACATACCACATCTCCTTACTTTTATATAGATATATACTATAATATTATTATTTTGTATATTCTCTTACTACTTAACTTTGATTTGTTAACAGAGAGTCACATGTTAAACTGTACTCCAAACTGGAGATAGAAAATTGATATTGCACAGTTATTTTTAAATAGCAAACTTTAAAAAGATAACAATCTAATAACCCCAATTATTTGTGACGCAATTGTAGCAACCAATCATATTGATTTCTGCTCTACTTTCGGAGTAATGACTATAAAGATATAAAAATGTATGAGACCGATACAAAGATACATCAATCTGTAAGATGTATATCGACTGAGGACGAATTTCCTCCTATCGACCTGTAAGAAGAATATCGACTGAGGACGAATTTCCTCCTATCGATCTGTAAGAAGAAATATCGACTGAGGACGAATTTCCTCCTATCGACATGTAAGAAGAATATCGACTGAGTACGAATTTCCTCTTATCGACCTGTAAGAAGTAATGTCGACTGAGAACAAATTTCCTCCTATCGACCTGTAAGAAGAATATCGACTGAGGACGAATTTCCTCCTATCGATCTGTAAGAAGAATATCGACTGAGGACGAATTTCCTCATATCGACCTGTAAGAAGAATATCGACTGAGGACAAATTTCTTCCTATCAACCTGTAAGAAGAATATCGACTGAAGACGAATTTCCTCCTATCGACCTGTAAGAAGAATATCGACTGAAGACGAATTTCCTCCTATCGACCTTTTAGAAGAATACCGACTGAGGACGAATTTCCTCCTATCGACCTCATATCAAGGCTTTGATTGTATAATATCGAAACAGATACATATCCATGTAAACATATTGATACTTTGGATAAACTCATTTTGATAGATTATCACTTTAACACTGTAGGTTGCACTTTGTAAATACAGCTGTTTTTCAAACCACGCCTCTTTTGGGGAGATATAGAATATTCATAGATAATTAATTTTGTTTACATACTGGTTCCCAGTTATGATCTCTAGGTTTCATCTCATAGAGACATAACTTGGAAATGTTACCAGTAAATATACATATGCATATTGTCTATATAGAAATCTGTGGAAGTCCTACAATCAAGGTAGGGATAGTTAAGAAATTTAGTGTTAGTTTAAACTCTTAGAAGTTCGGGGCATACAAACGTTGAAAATATGCCGCACAGCCCAATATTTTGACCTTCGAAAAAAATTGTAGTGCATATGAACTTTCCGTTCTAGAATATGATTTTTTTCAAAACTTCAAAGTAAAAGTGGTACAGTTTTAGCCGTAAAAGGAGTTTCTATGGGAAATTGCATTGTCAATATTTACAGAAATGCAACCTGTAGCACGATCTTTAGATATTGTCTTCGAATAAATATTTCTATTGTTTTTAATGAATTAAAAAATAACTCAATATATGTTTAACTTTACATTTATGTACACTTTTGATCCTACATCCTATATCTTTCATACTTATAATTTGACATTGTACAATGTCATATATATATATATAAGAAGATGTGATATGAGTGCCAATGAGAAAACTCTTCATCCAAGTCACAATTTGTAAAAACCATTATAGGTCAAAGAACGGCCTTCAACACGGAGCCTTGGCTCACACCGAACAGCAAGCTATAAAGGGCCCCAAAAATGACTAGTGTAAAACCATTCAAACAGGAAAACCAACGGTCTTATCTATATAAAAAAACGAGAATAGAAACACTTATTAACCACATCAACAAACGACAACCACTAAACATCAGGTTCCTGACTTAAAAGAGGTGCAAACAAATGCAGCGGGTTTAAACGTTTTAATAGGCGCCAACTGCACCCTATCCTGAAACAATAGTGTAACATCACAACATAGAAAGACACACTATAAAATATCAATTGCAACGGCTTAACTCAATCAAAAGACATATTAACAAAAACAAGTGAATATACACTAAACGAATAAATTTGATCTATGACACAATGTAAATACAAAATTGATAAAACAAGGGGGTTAGATATAAAACAATATCAGAAAGACAACTATAACCTCTGACAAAATGCCATCAAATAAATTAACGTACACAGGTAAATAAAATAATTTTGTTGTAAGGTATACATGGAGTACGAAAATATTTTTTTACAAAATATCTAATTTTGTTGTTCATAGTACGAGAACAGAAATTAAAAATTTATCGTCATACTTAACACTTATCAAAGGTGGTAAATCTTAAAAATAGCGAGACGAGATATAACACTAAATAAGTAAGCATTGAATAACAAAAATACTTTACAAATTGTATCAACAGGTCAAATAACACGAAAGTACGATTTGAGAGTACTCGCAATTACTGAAAGCTAGTTAAAAGCCAAAAACAATTAATAATAAAAAATCATGCATCAGAGACTAAAATCAACTAAAACACATCCCAGGGATTTAGTGTTTTAACGTCATGGACAATCAAAGAAGACATGACTTGTGCAATGCCAAAATAAAAGTATCGACAGGCAGTAGGATAGTTAGGAATTAACCTTTTAATAAAATTGTATAATGTTATATATAGATAGAGTATTCTCTTTATTGTCATGCTTATCTCAGACTATGTGTGAAATTTTTGCACTAAATCCATTTTTGTGAACTGATCGATATTTTAGTCTGGGAAAACATAGTTTATTTAGTAGCTGGAATTGGCTTTGAACTAGCTTTCGGCGAAGAAGTGTATGTATTGCGTCCATGCTTTCGGTAATTGGGAGTACTCTTATATCGTTGTTTCGTGTGTTATATTTTTGTGTGCTTATTGCCAATTTGATGAGTCATGGCTTCCATTATTTTACCAATGCAAATTGGGATTATAAAGAGACGATTTAGAGAAATGTAGTCATTGTAGTTGAAATTTATGTAAAGGAATACAAAATTCTCTAAATTTTTCATATAATGATCTGATCAGACTGCATATAAGAATTGTTTATAATTGTGAACATTTTGTTAATGTTCTTTTATATTGCATACTTATAGTATGAAAATAAGGAGATGTGGTATAATTGCGAATGAGACAAACATCCATCAAAGGTCAAGTGAAGTGCGTGTAAAAAATCATTGGCAACCGTAGGCCTTCAACAATGAGAAAAACAAATTCCGTTTAGTCGGCTATAAATTGCCCCGACATGTAAAGTTTAAAACAATTCAAACGAGAAAACTAACAGTCTAATTTATACAATAATAATATGTCTATTTTTTATTTCAATGTTAAGCTTGGTGGCACTTTTGTCTTCTTTTTTTTAAGTTGAAAAATATGAAACAATTCAATTGAGAAAACAAAACAATTTAAAAAAAACAAATATGACGGACAAGAACCAACGACAACCACTGAACTACAGGCTCCTGACTCTGGACAGGCACATAAAGAATGTGAAGGGTTAAACATTTTTGAAGGCGTCAACCATCCCCTAACCTGGGACAGTGGTGTAAAAGTACAACATAAGAACAAACTATGAAAAACAGTTGAAAAGGGCTTTACTCATCAGATCGATACTGAGCAGAAAAACATCAAACATAAACACAGATTGGACGTGGCAATGTATTTATACATTCTTTACAACAAAAAAGACACTAAACAGAGATCTGAGAGTCCCCGCAGTTACTGGCAGCTAGTTCAAAGCCAATAACAACTATAAATAAAAAATCTTGTATCTAACACTAAAATATCAATCAGTACACACCCAACATACAATGGACTAAGTGTAGAGACGTCATTAACAGTCAGAGGAAAACATAACCTTGTGCAATGCCAAAATACAAATATCGACAGATTGTAAAATCGTGAATGTACATATTTGTATACATGTATAATTTAATTTTGGATGTAACGCGTCTTCCGATTGGCTGTCGTTGTTTTGTTTATCAGCTCATAGACATAATTTTGTCATGTGACATTGACGTCATCAACGTTTTTTCATGATTTACTCTGGTTTAAAATGGAATTAAGAATTAAATTATAAGAAATGACTGTAATATTTTTC